TGATTATTGGATTATTTATCGAAACTTATACTTCAACGTTCGTGATCGATAAATAAACATATTAAATAGATTTTGTTCTTTCTTTTCATTTTTTCATCAATTTAATCCGAAAAAGAACAATTTTATAGGATTAAGATCTTACGAACACCGGTAAGAACTTATTTATATACTTATAACAACAAGAATCACCATTGAAACTCCGAACTTATTCAATCAGATTATCTAGACTTAACTTTTTTTTTACTTACACTAATATTTAAGCGATGTATGGATATGATTTCCTATAATTAGTGTCCTATGTGTAATATCCGTCACCGTGTTAACCAGTGAAGAGTGTATGACATATATCTACGTCATGAAAAAAGTACATTTTATCATTAGGGTTATGTATTTCCCATAATAATGTGTATTGGAGTGTGTGCACGACATTTTGTCTAGTTATTTCATTACAACCTAATTTCATATTACACATGTTCTGTGTATGACGAGAGTACTCGCTGTCGTTTAATTGCTCGCGACACACTTTAAATACTCATTTTCCAAGGAGATCCACCCAGTTGACGGGTTAAGGTGAAGGGTTTGTTCTTTTGTTTGGTCGCTGGCTTGTCGAACTAAAGATAGAGATCAGAAGTGAAGGTGGAGATTATCTATCTGGGAATATGTAGCACAATAATAATAATAATAATAATTATAATAATAGTAATAATTCTTATCTAAACTTTTTAATGGACTTGTGCATAGAATTACCATATTAAGCGTAAACTAGCGCCCATTAGTAACACAATGTAAGCCCAAAATATGGGACGATTACAATATTTACAGTTTCTATTCTGTTTTCTCTTTCTACTAGCGACCGTTTAATAATTGCACTTGCCGGTTAGAGATGGCCATTCCTACTCCTTTTCCTTTCCAACAAATCCCAACCAGCCTGTAATTTAAGGAGTAATCGACATTTGCTGCTACCCTTTTCATTTACATTCACCTCACTTTCACTACTTTCTCGTTTGTGATACTGTCTATTTGTTTCACTAAAATATTCTTCTGCCCCATTTTTGTCAATTTACTAGAAAAATTATTCCGTTTCCTTTTTTGGCGTTCATTAATTTAAATTCATTTTTATTTGTATTGCAAAATTGTCTTGTTTTTAATAATCAGTATTTTAATGGGGACTTTTAAATGTTCTTGTTATGGTTTCAAAAGTGTTTAAAAGACTTCAATAAAGCCCAAGAACGGCAGAGATTGCATTCGTTAACCAACTGTTAATTGACACAACCTTTGCTCATTACAGGCCGCAAGAAGAGAAGGTCGTACAAGGGCGTCATGGATGGCTTCATGGACAAAAATATTTCGTGCTGTGAGGATATTCGGCGTAATCATTCACCAGCGGGGCATAGCCGGAGTCCCGCTCAAATTAAAGTTACAGGCAATTTAACAAAATGTGACCAGCAGGGCAGGACGAGAAATCGGAATTTTGTTGGATTAGTAACGCAAACGTCATCATTGACAAGGCTCGATCCTGATCGTAATAAACCTATGGATTACGACTCTCGTCATTCTGATCCTGGACGTAGAGATTCAATCAGAGATCAGGATCACGAATTTCGTGAGTCTAACTATGGTCACAGACCCGCGGATTACGCAGCTGAATTTGATCGTGATTCCGGATACATGAAACGTAATGACTCGAACACTACACTTGCATACGAACCAAAAAAACGTGATATTAGCCAAGATAAACGGCCACCGTTCATGACAAATCATAACGCTCGCCGTAATTTCAGAGTAAAAAAATCGGGGACAGAATTAGCTTATACTCCACGCACTGATAATTCCTGCGATTGGATTTACGACCGTATTGATCCTAAAGATGAATATGAGCGCGACGCTCACAATTCAAATCTAAAAAGAAAACGTGTAGCAGCCGGAGAAATTAACGCATCATTATTCACAAAGGCTTATCCACCTAGTAGTAACAGTCCAATTGCTAATCCTAGAGATTATGTATGGGATTCTAACTGCGATATATTAGAAGAAACTAGAAGAAGTAACCGTCCACTAAGGCTAGGATCATACGAGTTTCGCAATTCAACACCAAAAGATTCCGATGGTCTTCAACACGGTCGTGAACGCGGTGGTTCGCGTGAACGTGATTGTTCTCGTGATGGAGTTCGTGATTGTGACCATTCCCGCGATCATGAAGGGAAACAATTTGAATTTTCTCCGAAATTCAAAGATCCAAGTTTGTCAGTAGTGAAAGAATACTTGCAAAAGTGTTTAATGCAACGCCTGACGGTAGACTGGACAGAGGAAGATGATTTACAATTAGCCAACTGCATTTACATGCACTTGTCAAATATGAGAGATTCTAATTATGTATGTGCTGCATTGGATGAAATTTCCAAAGAAAAAGGATTGGAACCGATGCTTAAATCTTATGTTGATAAATTAAGAAGAATTTATAGAATCAGTGGTCTGTGTGAAGCACCACGAGATCAGAGTCGTATTGAAATAACCGCTACTGCAGTAGCCACTAGAAGACCACCTGCAGGAACATCGGAAATGGTACCAAGTGGCAGCCAACATCTAACAAAGCGGGCAGGAAATGATAATCGCCAAGCACCGATGACAAGAGCAGATGACCACATAAAAAAAAGCGGCAATGAATATTACAATTTCAAAAAAGAGGGAATTCAAAAACCTGATGCAGCGAATGTACAAAAAGAAGCCCGTCGCTCTGAAGTGGGAACTGAGTCCAAAATGGGGATGTTTTTGCCTGAAAGAGAAGCAAGGATGTATTCACCTGAACACGATGCCAAGGATGGAAGATCGGAGAAATACATTAATTCTTTGACTTACGAAGCGCCTGAAGGAAGAAAGTATTTTGAAACTCGTCATAACGGCACAAATAACACCGAAGGCAATGGTTATGTAGGGGCGGGAAAGCCTTCTGAGACTTATGGCTGTAATCCAGCAGAAAACTACCCTGAAACGTACAGATACGATTCACCAGGAAAGTACCCTGACGCTCGTGGTTACCATACAGTGGGAAAGTACTCTGAAGCTTACAGTTTCGATAGAGCAGGAAGGTCATCTGAAACGTATAGTCGCAATCCATCTCCAAAATATCCTGAGGCGGCCTCTTTCAATTCAGTAGAAAAGAATGCTGAAGGCCATTGTTACCTCGCAGCTGGACGGCTCTCTGAAAGTCGTAATTACATACAAATGGAAAGACATCCGCAACCCTACAATTATGCTGGAGCAGAAAAATTGCCTGAGAGCTATAGTTACAATTCAATAGAGAAATCTCCCTTAACCGAACATTATGCTCAACACAAAGATGAAGAGGGACAACGTGGTAAATCATACGGAGCTTTTGGTAAAATAAATTACAATACTCCATCAAAATCAACCCACCAATTGCCTACAAGAACCTATGTTTGCAAGTCTTGCGGAATGGAGGCTTGTCGATGCCCAAAAATGTCTAAGCATGGATTACATGTCTGTCAGAAGTGTTTTACTCACCCTTGCCGATGCAACAAATCGCGTAATGGATCATTTATCCACTCTAATTTTATTAAAGATGATAATAGCAACGGCAATAATGACGTATTTTCTAGAAACAACAAGAAAGGAATCGAAAATCATGGCCACATGCAGCAAGAGTTGCGAGATAATAATGACACGGGATCGACTGCGGCACCCGTGTCCGTGCGATGTGTACTGGAAAGGGACGATAATGGTGAAGGCAGTAAAACCGATATAATAATACGCGGTCGCGTTTCTCGTAACGTAACTCACATTGACGGTTACGATTTCGGTTATGAAAACTCAGCCAAATAATGAGCGAAGAATCAAAGTTCATGGGACAACAACTCGATACATTTGGTAGCAAATCACAGTCTGGCTTGGAAAATAGTAACAATAATTTTATTCAAAGCAATAATAGTAGAAATTGGCAAACAAAAACAATAAAATAGCAATATACCCAATTTTGTCTAGCCGACTATGTTTCTCCACGATTACCATTCTCCTTGAAATTGTTTAGCGGTTTTTCAAATGTCATTTCAGCTTAATTGGACCTAACTAAGACTGACTACGCTGGACACGCTGGCGTAAAAACATCTCAATTTTAAGCTTTAAAATCATTCACTTTTCATGACTTTTATATAATTTATAACAACCACCGTTGGATGGGATACACAACACCTGTACTTTCGCCTGTAGTAATCAGAAAAGGCATTTTCTTTTACATAAGGTCTGCAGATTCAGAGTTGACTTGGGCGTGCTCGACTTGCTGTTGAGATACGTATGTAGAAATTATACATGTAAGTAATGGAAGTTGTACCTTTCGCTTTGTGATATCCATCACGGAAGGATGAGGGGTATATTCATTTTGTCAAAATGCTTGCAACACCCGGAAGGAAGCTTCAGAGACTCATGACGTACCTACACTTTTAATCAACGTTGTGTTCTGACTCGACTTAATCGTTTCTGTCCGTCCATCAGTATAACATCTGTTTGAAACATTCCTCCGCCCGGTCTAATGACTCGGTTAGACGACCACGTGAACTTACCTCACCACAGTTTTCCAAATAAGTAAAAATTGGGTTTTTGGTAATTACTCACAAACTACAGCAAAGAACCTATGAAAATTTGTACGTATATTCTATGAAACTATAATGCTTGCAAAAAAAATTGAGAAAATAGACTAGGCCCACCAATGTTATGTTGTATCAAAATTTCACTATCGTGATTGTATACATTTATGACCACGGTGTCAATTGGCTAAAAGCAAGACAAGTAAATTCGTGTTTGTATTTAGAAGACCCTTTCATTCTCCCTTCATTCCCTCTTAAGAATATTGAACAGTTTTTCATGAAAATATATTTCATATTTTTCATCCTTATCTCTAGAAAAACATTCTTGAATAATCTGGCAAAACTTCGTTCTTCTTTTACAAATCAAAAGAATAAAAAAAAAATCTGGCAAACCTACAATTAAATAACGAAAAAGTAAGCGCAGTAATATTTTCGTTTTGTCAATTGCTGTAATTAAATTGGTCAAGACGTTTCGATTAGTGAAAATTACCGGTGGTATTTGCAAAGTATCACGTTTAGGTTTATATTCTACAGCGGCCAATAAAGAAGCCCTAATTAGGGAAAAAGGGAACATGGTTCTTCAACATAATGTTAAAGGTTAAGAAAACGTTAATTTTAATAAAAAGAAGTATAAATATATAAATAATTTTGTTGTTGAAGGTTATGAGGAATTTACGAAACTAGTCGACGAGCTGGAGGGAAGCGGACAACCAATACATGTACTATTTTCGGGCGGTAAAGACGAAAATGGAGCAAGTTGGTGCCCTTATTGTGTCAAAGCTGAACCAGTGATTCATGACGCCTTATCAAAAGCCCCCGAAAAGTCGCATTTCGTACATGTAGATGTGGGAGAACGTGCTTAGTAAGTATAAAAAAATTTATTGTCAATCTAAGTTAATAAATATCTCCATATTGATAACTCTTGCTCGTAATCTAGCAGTGAAGCGCCATAAAAGTTTGATTAAAAAATTATAGTTAACTATATAATTGTGTTAATGTAGTTAACTTGCCGTTTATGAAAGACGATAAGAAAGTTTTTTTTATTTAACGAATATTTTGTTCTTTTTGAAATTGGCGGTTTAGTTTTCCCCTTCAGCCTTACTATACTAGTTAGTAAAAAACGAAAAAAACAGTTTAACAGTCTAATAAAAAATGACAAATTTTTAACATCATTTCCATTTAGACATAACTAAATTATTATGCTTAGGATAGATTTTGAATTCTCTATCTTGATTTTCTTTTAGTTGGAAAGATTTAAGTTGCCCTTTCCGCCGAGATCCTAATACGCATTTAGTCTTTTTGCCTACACTACTGCGTTGGAAGTCTCCTCAGAGGTTGGATGGTGAACGCTGTTCTAATAAAGAACTCGTGGAAATGATGTTCGAAGATGAAGAATAAATGGGAATGCATACAATTTCGACAAATATATATATGTGTTATATCAATTTTCTAATAACTGCTTTTATATTTTTTCATTTCTACCATTACTACATGTATGTTAGTTAATTGAGCTTTTGCATTAGGGGTTAATAACTTATGAAATCTTTGATAATATTGCACGAGGCTGGCTAATGCCAACTGAAGTAGTCTGGAACTAGTTACCAAAGATGGAAAAGACAGCAGTACTTCACGATTTAATTCTTCTAAAGACTTTTTCCAATTTGCGGAAAAATTTGCAACTAAAGCCAAACTTCTGCGTTCTTGTTTACGTAATTCGTCCAATTGTTCCGTTTCAAAGTAAGGTTCACATTCTTTTATGAATTGTATAATACCGCCGAAATGTGGTGCCAATATCTCCTCCACATATTCGGTACTACGAGCAGTTAATTGTTCGCGGAACGCTTCAGCTTCCTTGGAATTGTCTCGTGTGTGCTCCATAAGAATACCCAAAACAAGATCATAGTTATTGATTAAATAAATAAGCTGTTCCTTGCGTGTGGGAAAAATTGCAGCCATACGTAAGATGAAGCATTCCACTTCATTCTGTAGTTCCAACAACAAACGACTAACTAATTCATTTGGAAAATGCTCAGAGATGCCTACGATAGCAGCTGAAAATTCAGCATAGCGACGAGTAATCTGTGAAGAAACATGGAAAAATTGGAAAATTACTGATCATAGCAAAATGTATACAACCTACATAATGTGGTCCCATTTCCTTGCTAAATTTAGTGGGATCGCAGTCTCTAATACTTTGTATATTTAAACGGAAAACGTGCTCGAATCGTGGCCAGAATACGGATTGCAAGGAGTCCCAGTACCTGTAAGATATATCGTAAAATTTATTCATGCGGCAGACAAGAAAAAAGAAACTCACTTGTCTAAAGCTGGCACGCAGCGTTTGTGACACATAAGCTGATATCTGAATATCAATTGAATGCATAAAAACATGGCAATTGTATCGAAACAATCTTGGATGCTGGTCTCAACAGTTTTCTAAAATTGATAAGAGAAAGGGAAGAAAGAAAACGAAATAGACATGGCCGTACTTACTATTTTGATGTGAACTTTTTTTGTGTGTACGCATAAGCGTTCAAGATTACTTTATCAAACTGGTTGCGTTTATTCTATTAATATATCATGGTCTCCTACTTTATGCCTCGTTGTCGCTTCCTTATTAAACCGTCAAATTTTCGTTACGTCAGAAATATAATCGAGAAGAATGCAAAGGGCTTGCACTTTTCGTTGAAAATTGGAAATTGGTGACGACCACAACACAAAACAGACGGAAGTCAACGTTCGTAGTATGGGACGTGTTAAGCCTTCTCTTAGTCCAACGCATTCAATTCATTTGAATAATCAATAAGGATTACGACAGGAACGTCGCAATGCTCCGCTAAGATGGACAGATTTTCTTCTGAAATGGGCAGCAGCGGCTGTTTGCGTTTTTGGTGCTTTCGCACGGCAATTATTGTAATTGCCAAAATATCTATAAAATATCGAAATTGAGATAATCATTTTCACTGCGATTTTTATGGGTCGGGTACATTTTTACCATCGTCGGGAAGATTTTAATAATGGTTGAAATAACGGCTTTTAGCCGTTTAAGCAACAATTCAACTCAATGCAATTCAGTCAGTTTGAACATTCCACAATATTGGTTAAGGAAATTATAACAATGTTGGCAAGCCGACAATTCCAAAAACTTACTATTATCAATGTTAGAGTTTTTCCCATGATCTGATTGAATAAGTCCTGCGCCTGTCCACCGCGTACCATAAAGAACTCAGTAACAAACAAATATTCACGGCAGGCGTTATCCACTAAAGCATATTGCTCAGATCGGAACAAGGCTTCAAAGGTATACTAAAGCAGTTTTTAAATAAGTATCGAATTCTTGTACAGGCAATGGAAGGAAGGCTTACTCTATTCTTTAGCTGTGCGTGCGGCACTATTATAGGAGCTTCAAGTTGTTGATTTAAGATTTCACCGCGTTTGCCAATGGTAAAAATAGTGCTCTTATGCTTAAGACTAGTCGTCTTGGCAAATAAGCCTTTTGACACATTGTCTTCAATACCCATTAAGTCATCTTTTGTACACGACTCTTCAAATTTTAAAGACGACAATCGCGACGAATAGCTCTAGAAAGGCAACTGATAAAAAGTGTGCTGCAACTTGCGAATCTAACATATAATATACCTTAAAATAGCTGTAATAAATTTTACTCATGGTATCAATATATTCATTGCATATCTCTTGTGCGACTTGTCGCTCGTTGGAAAGAATAAATTCAAAGAAGAATTTATGCTTTAACATAGCATTTTGCGGTATTTGATAATTAGTCATTGGCTTGCGGAATTTATATATTTGTTCTAGCAGATATGAACGTATTTTCGCCATAGCTTTCAAACGTAATTTGCATAAAACGTCCTCCACATCAGCGGTGGACTTCGACTCCTTAAAACTTAACTCTTTGACTAACGATAGCTTGTGATTCAACACATTAAGTTGGGTACAAAAATCTTTCTCAGTTACCGGTGTATCCATTACGATTGTTATCATTTCTTCTGAAACAGCCATGTCCTCTATGAACTGAGATAATTGGGCTTTAACAGATTGACGGTTAGTTAACTGCACAGACATCGATACCGATTTTTTTTGTAAATGCGTTATTTCAGTACTGATATTACTTAAAACGTTTTGAAAACTCATTAGCATATTCTCCATACGTTCTAAAATTTCATCACACTCTCCAATTTGATTATGAAGGGATGCTATATTTTGCGATTCCTTAATGTAATCTTCGATCGATTTGTTTTCCACTTCCTTAAATTCCTTTTCAATTTGTCGTGAATACTGCCGCAAATCAGTAGTAGTTTTCAAAATTTCTCTAACTTCTTCATTGTCTAGTTGCTCGGTAAGATTGGTTTCCGCTTGAGCCATTTTGCTTTTTTAAAATTTATGAATTTTACAAATCTGCACTACATTCCATTCACATCTGACAGTTACAAATTCACACGTTATAATTTTCCTTAAATCACTTAAAAAAATCCAAAAAAGTTGTTTTTACAATTGTTGTTCATATAAACTGTTTATAATTCTTAAGGTTAATGATATTTCACATTAAATATTTATTTTGGAATACTTGAAAGAGAATGTTATTTCCTATTCTAATGGAAACCTTTTGTGCCCCATCTGTTTTCCGTTTTATTTTTTGCCAGCAGCTGTTATCATACGAACTTTGCATTAACGCAGACAAATTTGCCTTCTTCTTCTTCGTCTTCTGCTTCTTCCTAAATGTTCAGTTAATCAACAACAGATGATTAGTTGCGTTGTAAAAAAAAGTACTCCCTTGCCTGGATATCAGCTCTCTGCATTTTATTTATCTTTTTATATTTCGTTATTAATTTTATTCAAACTTAATTCGAATCATAATTTTTCACTTTCTTTTGAGAACGTCCATAACTTGTCTCCACCGACTCTACAAACAACAGTTAAGCGAGCCAATAATGCTGTTTTGGTACCAATTGAAAAG